GGCGCCTCCCCGCTCCCCGGGGCAGAACCCACCCCTGCCATGGACGCCCCCTAGCGGCAGCTCAGGACCCACTGCTCCCTGCAGAGGCAATTCGCAGCCACCCAGCTCCACTTCCAGGGTGGGTGACGCGGGTGGGGACACTCGTGGCTTCCGTTTAGTGGAGGCGCCAGAAAGCAACTTCAACAACCCCTTTTTTTCTTTCTAGAAAAAATAAATAAATATAAGCATGAGCTGGAGAACAGGTCTATTGCTATTGTAATCTAAAGGCCCAGTTGTTTCCATTTTTATTTAATCTTTTTAAATGATTTTTTTGTAGATATTTGATTATTCAAAATTTAGCTATCAATGTTATTTGGTGTTAACCTGACCAGTTGCTCCTCTACCATCTCCCTTTCTGCTTGCATGTTTTTGTTTGTTTTAGACATTCCATTTTGATTGCTGACTTCTGAGGTAAGGTAGGATAAGCAGATTTTTAAAAAAAGCAAAACACAGCAGGTGGTGTAGCGGTTAAGGCACTGTACTCCCACCGGGTCCACTGAGTCCCAAACTGGGTGGCCTGGGTTGAAAATCACCCCAGAAGCATGTGCCTGCGTGCCTAAAATTCCAACAGGAGAATGAGGAGAAAGTGTGGCCATTCTCACCTTCACCCTCCAGTCTCCTGCCCCCACCCCAGGTGGAGTGATTTCTCACTTTCCCTCTCTCTGTGTCTCTCTCTGGCATGTACACATGCCCTACGGCAAAGCCATAAAAATAAAAGATGTAAAACAACCAAAAAATCACCAATCTATAGCTCATATTGGGTAAAAGTAGAAGTAGACATTTTAGGTTAAAAACTGGAAACTGGATTATGGATTAAGGTCCTGAAAATCCACCTCTCCTACCTCTAATTATTTAGGAGAGTTGAATGTATATTGAACTAAATGTGACTTTATCAGCACTTGCGCCTTATCTTTGTTCACAGACTTTAGCCTTCGCATTTACAGGTAGTGATTCTTTGATCAGAGCTAAGGGCTAACCACTTCTCACTGTCGCCACTTTGATGAAATTTAACAGGCCAATAACAACAGAAGTCAACCTGTTTCCATTCTTCCTCATTAGACACTCAAAACCAACTCCACAATTTTTTCTTTTAAAAAGCGGTTTTTGCTATAGGACGTGTCCGCTCACCAAAAAGACAGAAAACAAGAAATCACCCCTCCAGGGGGGATGGCCACACCATAATTCCTTCTCCTCCTTTCTCCTCTCAGGATTTTGGGTACATATGCACATGAGTCTGGTATGTTTTAAGCCACCAGGTTCAGGACTCGAACCACGGCCAACTACTGGGAGTCCAGTGATGTAACCATAATGCCATTGGCTGGTCCTGAACTCCACAACATTTTAAGGAAAGCTTTAGTATATTCGTAAACAATCTTATGTCTCTTTTTGCAAGAAATATTCAGATAAAATTTTCCCAAGCCATTTCATTCCAAGGAGGCCAATTCTTACATTTTTGTTTCTTTTGACCCTTCCCCTCTTTGCTCTGCGAGAAAAATCAGATCTGGAAGTAGCGTTCATTCATTCCCTAGCCCTAAGCAGCAATGTTCTTTGGCTGACCAAACTTAATATGATTATTTTAAATTGTACTAACATGTCAACTACATCAATAAATCTTCTGAAAAGAAATGAAGTATTTCACAGAGAACTACTTTTTTAGAAACGCCAGGCAAATTAGAATTATAAAGGACACTAGCAAGGAATAGAGTTATGAGGACCACTCCCCGCCCCCCGGAGATATAACACTGAGGAATTTTTCTTTGAAATATGAATTTGACTCAGTCAAAACTCTTTAGAAAAATAAATCTAAATCCGTAATATCATAGTTCCATTACAGACAGAATGGCAGAAAAAAAGGAGAAGAGCAATTATTTAGCAGATGATTCATCAGCATCCCAGCGATCAGACCACAGTCCATCCACCTAACACTGCTCACAGGACACAGTGGCCCATGGGCTAGAACCGGAAGGTGGGTGAAGTTCTGGAAGTGCCATGTAGTTGCTTGATGTGGGCTACAGATGAGCAGACCCAGTTGTTCCCCACACCCTACCCCCACCCCAGGCTGGCGAAGATTCTTTTGCATATCTCTTCAAGGCCCAGCCTCAACTCCCCTAACTGGCTTTTGCTTCATTCATTCAATGCCACATTTTCTGTGGGGCTACTATGTGCACTCTAGTAAGTGACCCCCAAAACCTGGCCTACCTGCTTGACCATATGTTATATATCCCTGTGTCTTATCCCATGCCTTAGTAGGGAGGCAGGCACTTAATAAAGCTGAGAGACCCAGAAGATGAGATCAGTGGAAAGAAGGGAAAATACCTAACTATTGCCAGGGCTAAGGACATAAAAGAGGGTATTTGGATTTTCCAAACTGAGAGGACATAAAGCCTTCTTCTATTTAATAGTCGATGAAGCAGCCTAACTAAACACCTACTAAGGCTGCTGGCAAATTTCTTGAAGAGAACCTGAGGTCTGAGGGTCAAGAAAAGAGCTGGGAAAGAAGAACCGCCAATAGCTTCCATTTTCAAGGCAGCACTCAGCTGCCGCTTTCAGCTTTTCCTACTATGATATAAGAAAGCACACTTTAATCCCTGGACCCCCGCAGATTTGGTGAGGAAGTCAGGTCCATGGATAAATTACAATCTCAGCAAGTCACGGCGAAGAGACGTTTCTTAAAAGCTCAGTTCTGAGCCCTCGGAAAAATATCAAATAACTGAATGGCACTCAGGGAACAGCCTCTAAAGTAATTAAGAAGAACGATGACTTGATTCATCTGAAATGACTGAACACATTAAATACAGCTTGCTTTAATGACTTCTAAGGGATGTGTTATCACCAACTGACGCCAACTACCCTCAGAGAAGTCAGGATTAGGTATGGCGGGGGGAGGGCTGAGGAGGGGGTACTAACCCAGGGAAGATGCCCCTCTAGTTTCAAGGGGCTGTGCTTTTACATCATATGCTGATATTGTCTATGTTAGCAGAACAAGGTGCCACTTGAGAGAGAATTCTGCAACCTCAGACACTTATCATCTAAGGGCACCTTTGCTTTTTCAAACTCCAACAGCAGAAATGAAACCTACGGATGAATTAATAAAGTCTACACTTCAGCAAAGCCACTTTTTAAATGTGACATTAGCATGCATGAAAAGAGGGCATATCTTTTAACATAAACCTTAATACTTTGTCTCTTGTGGGTTTTCTAAGAAATGAATCCTAGATGAAATAATATTTTTACAGCCATATTTTTTTCTTCAGAAGATTTGATGATTTAAAACAACATCATCACATATAAAAAATTAACTGTCTGGGTCAGAAAATTATTACCAGATCACCAGAATCATTTTCACATACAAAATAATCTCTGAACACCAACCTAATTCCTTTCTATTAGTCATATAACAGAAAATGAGCACAACACGGAAAACAGCAAATTACAGCTCCTTCCCAAGCAAAAATAAACTTTTTCTGAGCAACTAAACCCTTAATGACACTCTTGCCATTGAGACTTCCTTTTTTAAAAAATAGTTTTAAAGACTTATTTATTTAATTTTATTTGTTATTATTATTTGTTATTCAATTTTGACCGGGGGGGGGGGGGATGATTTAGTTTTACACGCGGGGGGGGGGGGAATCAAGCTGCCAGTTCCAGACCTTGAACTGTGGTTGGCCACATGGGAGCCCAGGGCCTTAACCACCATGCCACCGGTCAGCCCAAGTATTCCTCTCTTTGCTCTCAGCTATATACAGAAATTAACAACAACAACAAAAAATTCTTGCTGGGTCACAGGTTATCAACAACCTACATAGTCAGAATCCCAATATTTAGAGTGGTTCTTAGGTAAGGAATCTCAAAGATTAATTCATGTGGTTGCCTAATAATTATCAGTCATAATTGCAACAAATATTTATGGAGTGTCTAAGATGAACCAGGCAATGTGCTAGACTCTGGGAATATAAGTGACCAAGACAGCAAGCAGTTCACATTCTCTAGCAGAGATGGGCATGGCTGTAAGAGCCACTCTGCAGAAAAGTAAGGCAGGGTAGGTGCAGACAGAATAACCGGGAAGGGAAAGAAGGGACGTATAAAATTCCTACCAAGTTCAAGAATCATGTTAAATGATTTTATATGGAGTTCCTATTCATTCCTTATCACAACCTAATGAGATGGAAACCAATGAACTTTTCTCATTGCCCAAAACTAAGTTTGCTTTAAATCACAATGTTAGCAAGGGGTAGAAGCTGGACTTGAATCAAGTTCACACACTCCTCTCCTCTGTAAATTTAGCACAGGCAACATCTCCAGAAGAACAACTTTTCTTTTTCTTTTTCTTTTTTTTTTTTTTGAGATGTTTTTGCTACGGGGCGCGTGTGCTCACCAGAAGGACAGAGAGACAGAGAGACAGAAAGCGACAAATCACTCCCCGAGGGAATGGCCATGCCGCAATCCCTTTTCCTCCATTCTCCTCTCGGGATCTTGGGCACGCGTGCACACACCATAGGCATGAGTTTAAGCCTCCGAGTCGGGGACTTAAACCGCGGTCGACTACATGGGAGTCCAGCGATATAGCCATTACACTAACTGCTGGTCCCCAGAAGAACTTCTACTCTGGGGAATAAGACCAGACATTCTTATCTAATGGTTGCAGGTCACAAAGGCTGATCTGAGATGGACTCTGGGCAGATCTGCACTGTCAAAACCAGATCTAGCCTTTTGGCCGGAACCGCCATCTTCCAGTAATTAACCAAAATGATGAACACAAAGGGAA